GTACAAGTCTAAACTCAAGACTTTTTATTAACTACAACTGAATGAAGAGCTACTTATATACAGCTGGTGAACATGCTGAAACATTCCAGACTTGGAATGTTCTGGAAGAATAAGAAGGAAATTTACATAAATAAGATAACATTAACAACAAGGATATTTACATAAAAACCAATTATCGGGCATCTTGCCGTTGATGGGTTTCAAACCCGGTACTTTCAGGTTTCGAGTCCTGTGCCTTCTCCGCTACGCTATGAGGAGCTCGGTTGAAAAGAGCGATTTTCGCTACAATATATACAAATTAAAGTAACATTAAAGCAAAATGATATACAAAGATATTGCACAATAGCATTTGTGTACTGCAGTTTCATCTAAAAATTCTGGGTGCAATTTCCTTTCCTGAAACAGGAATGCTGGAAAGCTTAGAGGTGGTGAGAAGATGATATATTAAACTCTGTCACCAAAGATTCAGAAGCAGGATATAAAATGCTATAATGTAAAAAAGTGAGAATGAAGCTCACTTATTAACAGCCTATCAATATTTATATCTATCAAATCACTACATTGGAAGATTTTATGTCTGACTAAATCACTCTTGAAAATTACAGTTGTCATATGCTTTGAAAGACCTCAAATAAAAAAAGTATGCTTAACAGCTTAGACTGGTGCATTTTTTGAGGTTGCAATTTTACAGTAGCATTCAAAAATTTCTGCAAAGCTTTTTTAAATATATATGTTCATTAACAATTAAAATCGCACATTTCTAAAATCATTGCAAAAATTAAACAATGACAATTCCCCCCTCTCAACTTCTCCCACAAAACCAAAAATTGTTTCTTAAATTTCTTTCAATAATCAAAAAAGATACAAATGTCTTTGCAAAGTGGAATGACATACTGTGGGGAATGCTGATAAGCATAAAGAATAAAATGCATTACAAAAATTTTAAGAGATATCAGTTACAGAAGAAAATAAATAAATAGAAATAAAATTAACTTACTAACTTCATACCCAAATCATGAGCTTTCATTTCTGGACTATTTACAGCAGGCAAATTCCAGCCAGTTCTTTTATCTGGCTCATACTTCTGACTAGCTATTTGAGCATATAAGCATTTGGTAAAAACCACCTGATTACAAAAAAATAAGAATAACAGATTCTAAATTGCAAATGTTAATTGTTACAAAATATGGAAATATTAATAATTTTGATGATATCTTTTTGAAGTTTTATTTTAATTCTTTTGCATAAGAAATTTTTTCAGCTACTCTTATTTTAAGGTAATAAAACAAACATATACACACACAGTCTAAAAAATTTTAACAAAAAGACTACAAAATTATATAATCAAAATAAGTTTTGTTCCCCCCCCCAATGGAAATATATTCTAATTTTCTTTCAGTCAGTATATGGCAGAAACCTCGTAAATAAAGCCTCTTAAAAAACAAATTTTAAAATATTCCCTCTTTAGTCTTACAGATTAATATAATCAGATGTAAAAATTCTATAATATTAATATGCATTATCTGTAATATTAGAAGCAAATAATGCATACAGGAGTAAAGGAGAGAGACAAAGAGGTTTTACGACACAGTTTCTTTTCTTTTCTTTATTTTTTTTTTTATTTTAGGATAAACAAATTAGCATATCAAAAGAAAAGGCAGCTCCCTCTACCAGAACCTCATACTTAATGTAGAATCCAGACGCTTGGAAATTTTCTAAATAGGGTATCTCCTATTTGAGCTATTACAACAGCAACATGAATGAATTTACTGTAAAGATAATTAAACAAACAGTAATTTACATATTATTTAACAAATTATGATTTCATCCATGCTACTTTCAATAACTTTCTTTTTTTCAGTAGCTTATTAAGTACAGTCAAAAGTCGTTTATTCGGACTCGTCTGGACTTTGGCGATTCTGGATTATCGATTTTTCCTGATTATAGATCATCAGTTTAAATCTGTAAGATGGCATGCAGAAATTATAAAATTAAAAATATGAAACCGTAATTTATGAAATAAAGAGCAATTATGATCTAAAGGGTATCAAAATTTACAAAAAAAAAAAAAGTTTAATATTTATTTGTTTACTTTATTAAACATTTCTTTCAATGTAAGTTGTTTAAGTTGCTTCATTTTTATGTGATAATACTTTCTCTTTAATTCTATAAACAGACATAATTTCTTGTTCAGTTACAAAGTTCCGCTGTTCAAGTCCTATAATTGCTGTGTCGAGAATACAGATTAATTTGTCAATCAAAATTTTTTTGTTTTCAATAACCTCTTTGTCACTTTTTTCACTATCGGAAGCGAATTATAATAATGACAAATTTGATTTAAATCATATCAAAGACAGAATAAATCAAGATGAAATACTACATTTAGTAAGGAATTATAAGCGAAATAAAATAAAAACATCTGGCCTGAAGATAAGGATAGTGCTGACAAATCAACTTCCAATTCATTGCGCACCACGATGTCCCCCCCCCTGCAGAGCAGTGTAAAATTGATAAATAGATTTCAGAATGGTTAGAGAAACAAAAGATATGCCTTTATCCATTTTTTGCAGCAATTCCACTTTTTGTTTAATGGACATCGAAACATACTTTCGCTTTGTAGATCCTTCGAAATTCTATTTGACATAACCGAAAGTTCAAGCTTACTTTTATAAAATTGCTCTAACAGTCTGCAAAAAATAATAAGCCGGATCCAATTCGAAGATTAAGGAACAACGCAATCTGCAACATTAACTGAAATAGATAATTAGATAATTTTAGCTTATACCGTCCGTTATACATTAAACGCGCATGTATAAACATATTAGGTGCATGGGCACACGCATGCGTAAAAGTATTACGCGCATGCGTGGACACATTATGCACTGACGCATGTGCAGAAAGAATGTAGCTTTGAGGTCCGGATTATATACCATTCCGGATTATTTACATCTTGAATAAATTCTATTCCAAGAGAATAACGAAGCTTGCTTAAATCTTTGACATGAAATTCTTTAGAAAGATAATCTTTAAGTTCAGCATATAAATCACAGCTATTTGTTGCTATTATTAAGTCATCCACATATAAAATTAGAATCAACTCACCTTGAGATGTTTTCATCCTGTAAACACACTTATCTGATTGTAATGGTTGTAATCCAAAGTTTTTGAGTTTTTTGTCTAATTTTTCATACCACTGTCGTCCACTTTGTTTCAAACCATAAAGAGACTTTTGCAAGGCATAAACATAATCAGGATTATTTGGTCTTCAAAACCTTTAGCTTGTTCCATGAAAATTTCTTCTTTTAAATCACCGTTAACATAAGCCATAACAAAATCTAGTTGATATAACATAAGGTCTTGTTCAGCACTGTATGCAGTCACAGTTCTTATAGAGCAAAGGTTTCATTGAAATCAATTCCAGGTTCCTGTGCAAATCGTCTAGCAACCAATCGAGCTTTTTTTCCTTTTGAACTAGTTACATCTGCATTATATTTCGTTCTAAGAACCCAGCGACATCCTATTACCTTTTTGTTCTGTGGTCGCTTTACTAATCATTTCCATGCACCATTTTTAACAAGTGCTTCTTCATACTCACTTTGCATAGCCTTATGCCATTCTTCAGCATAACTTCCATTTAATGCTTCTTCTAATGTCGGATTTGTATCTTCTTCAGCAATTTGTGCTTCTTCCTTTTCTATGTTTATATTGTGGTACTCCTTTTTTGGTCTTCCTGGCTTCCCAGTCTTGACTTTTCTTTGGACGACCTGGCCCCCTTTTAATCTGCATTTTAGGTATTGCTTTCGGAATCAGAATCTTCATTATCAGATGATTCAGCAGATGCTTCTGCCATATTTGAGGGGTCTTCTGTTATTTCATCAGCCGATATTTGCTTTACATTCAAGAGGTTCTTCCATTATTTTATCAGGAATATTTTCGAGAAATAAAACTTCTAAATCTTTATCATAATTAGTACAGTTTTCAAATTCATCAATGAATCTAACATCTCGGCTTATAACGATTTTTCTGGAATTTTTATTCCACAGCCTGTATGCTTTCGATTCATTTGAGTATCCTACAAATATATGTTCTTCTGATCGAGGATCGAATTTCCCTTTAGACCTTTTATTAAGTACAAAACATTTCTGTCCGAATACTTTGAAGTGAGATACAGTTGGCTTGATGCCAAAAAATAACTCATAAGGTGTTTTGTTTACTCCCAGGCTTCGATTCGGGCAACGATTACGAATATAAACAGCACAGTTTCAAGGCTTCAGCCCAAAAGGATTGGGGAAGATTACTTTGTAGTAACAAACATCTGGCCATTTCAGTTAAAGTGCGGTTCATGCGTTCAGCTCTCGAATTCTGTTGAGGAGTCATTGGTGCAGAGAATTCTCGTTTAATCCCGCATTCTTGAATATATTTATTAAATTCTTCTCCGCGATATTCGAGAGACCGTTATCAGTCCGAAGGATTTTATTTTCTTTCCTACACGATTTCCGACAGCAGCTTTGTATTTAATGAATGCATTTTTCACTTCATCTTTAGTTTCGAAATAACACGATTTGTTGTCTATGAAGGTAACAAAATAAGGCAAACCAGCATGGGATGGGACTCTCATAGGTCCACACAAATCTGAGTGAATCAAGTTCAGTAATTCATCACTTTGAAATTTTGATTCTTTTTTGAAAAGGTTGCACAGTTTGTTTACCTCGGATATAGAGTCTTTTAGAGATTCAGTGTTATTAAAATTTAAATTTCTAACCCTGTTATCAGACTTAAATCTTTTCAAATCAGACTCATTTAAATGACCTAATTTAAGATGCCAGTTTACAAAATCACTTACCTGTGCTATTGCAGCTGTTTTAGTGCTTGGATGTATATAATAAAAATCACCATGACGAATAGCCTGCACTATTATAGATCCATTTGGTTCTATTATTCTAGCATGTCGTTCTATAGAAATCACTGAACGATTATTTGCAGTAGCTTTAGATGTTAACAGCAAATTACACTTTAATTCCTGAACACATAACACATTTTTGAGTGTAAGTGCAATTGTCTTATTTCCGTTAGGTACTGTTATAAGGACAGTTCCAATTCCTGTAATTTTTGCTGTTTTGTCAACTGTTAACTTTATGGTTGAATTCGTTTGAGGGTGAAATTCTGAAAATAACCTTCTGTCATTGCACATGTGAGATGTACAGCCACTATCTAAGCACCATGAGGAGGTCTTTTGATAAGCATTGTTTACTGCTAAACTAATCTGCTCTTCATAATTAGAAGCCATCATAGAACCTTGATTTCCCTTATTTTCTATCAGCTATTTTCTTTCTGCATTCAGATGCCTAGTGCCCAATTTTCGAACAGTAATTACACTTTAAGTTTCGAAAATTTCTTTCAGCAGGAAGATTTTTGTTTGAATTTACCTTTCATTTTTTATTTTTCTTCTGTTCTTTATTTCGTCTTTTATTTTCAATATAGTATGCATTCTGTGAATCTTGAGATGTTTTCCCTTTTCTTGTTTCCCATTCTTCTAACATTTTGATTTTCAAAGATTCGGGACTAGGTAACTGATCTCTTGATTCGATGGCGCATCTAAAATTTTCAAAAGTTTTCTGGAATACTGTAGAGCAGAAGAATCGATAATAAATCATCAGCTATGTCAATTTCCATTTGTTTAAGCTTATCAACTATTTCGAAGAAATTATTCAAATGTTCAGACATCGTTTCTCTTTCCGCCATTTTTCTAAATAAATGCTGTTTTAATAATGTAGTCTTCTTCGCAGGTCCTTTCGATTCATATATGGCTTTGAATTTACTCCACACAGCATTTGATGTCACACAATGCTTTATATGACACAATTCACTAGGATTAATAGCAAGAATTATATCTGTATGAGCTTTTTGATCAGATTGGAGCCATTTCTTTTCGTCTTCAGTTCCTTCAGCAGGCTTTAGCTCTTTACCAATTACATAACCCCAATGGTCATTTTTAATCAATACAACCTCTATTTGTAATTTCCAACTGCCAAAATTATCTTTTCCAAGCTTTAATATAGTAGTCAAATGCGACATAATGTAATACAGTCTCTCACAGCCAAAAAAAACAAGATTGAGCGATATAAAAATAGGTTTAACTGAACACTGATCAGTTCTTACTGTTGATTAGATACAACAGTTCTTGCATGAATTAGGCTTACGAGTTCAATGCTCGAAAACTTCAAAATGTTCATTTTAAAAGAAGTATTTTGCTAATTAGGCACAGATGAAATGTTCCTGGGCCCATAACCATTGAAGAAATAAATGGACCTAAATAGATTGTAACCTCAATGAACATTTTTAATGACAGAGATTAATTTAAACATAGTTTCCTACAGCAGAGAGAAAGTGAAGAAGTAAAAAAAAGCATACATATACATACCTACATAATTTAAACAGATACGTCATCACCCGTGAACGGTGCATGCGTCAGGAGAAGCTCTCTTAAGCTAAACGTCGTATTATAATTTACGATACAACATATATAGACTCTAAAAGTAATTTCAACAAGACTAATGAACAATATGCAATAAGATAATGCAAACAATATCTCATTCCAATAAGATTAAACAAGTGACATTCCAGCCTTTTTTAAAATGTATGAGGGTGAGATTTCAGAAACTGCAGGTGAATTATTGAAAAACTAGGACACTATAAAATTTTAGAAATTTTGTGACAGTGCCAACCTCTACATAAATACCAATTCATGGCATACTCTACTGCTGCAGTAACAATACATGAACCAAAAGTTATAATTGCTTATCCATAAAATCAATATTTTATTTATTGACAGTTTACAAATGATAAAAATCTGCCATTATTATTACCTCAGTCATAACTCTGGTTTCTGGAGCAAAATATTTCATTGCTCTGCATGCCTACAAAAGGAAAAAAGAAAATTATGTAACACGAAGTTACTTTCTGTAAATATGAATAATTAAAATGCCATAAAACGTTCTAAAAATATCAAAAATAAGTACTTTTAAATCTATAGGATCTCTCAGATAAAAAGCTTTTACAGCAGCAGGTAAGAGATTTGGATCTTCTTTTAAAATAGCAGCAACAGCACAAGGAACATAACAGTGAGCTCTATGCTTATTTTCATCTATTTTATGTGGATAACTGCAAAGAAAAAGCAATGCTATATTTATAAATAATTTTTGTAACATATCATACTATTACATAACAAAAAGTTAGTTTGCACTTAAGTGTATTTTGAAAAAAAAAAAAAAAAAAAAAAAAAAAAAAAAAAAAAAAAAAAAAAAAGAAAAGAAAGAAAGAAAGAATTTTTTATATGTTTTCTTCTAAATTAAATGGCAATCGCACACTGATGGTTTTTAAAGTAATTAAATCTCTCATTAGAAATTAAGAAGCTTAATATATATTTTCATATGTAAATTAATACAATCTGCAAAGCCATTTTAATCATTTAAAACTTACATATATACCAACAAACAAAAAAGTACTGCTGTATTTCCTAGCTTATTTTTCTCTTTTTCTTTACTAATTTTATCTCAAAATTGAGAAAAGAAATTATGGGAATAGTTTAATTTCCTAAGAAATTGGTTAAAGTAAGAACATAACAAATGAAAAGTTATCATGCTTAAACTATACGTAACTATAAGACTATTATTTCTTTAAAAGAAAAATGCATTCCAATAAGAGTACAAAGTAATATAGGGTTAAGTCAAAACGAATGCCCCAGAAAACGAATGTACTATGCAAAGTATAAATATATGCATTAAAAATGAACACATGTGGAGAGGTAATATAAACAAGTTTTTAATAGCTACCAATAGATGGTGTTAGAAGTCCAATCATGATCAGCATTTCTGCAATAACAAAATGGGCAGAAAAACAATGCCTTTGTAAAATGGCAACACAACAGCAAAAGGTTTTTTGTGTGATTGAGTTTCATGTTAGCAAGTTTAATGTCACTGCTTAGTGCAAATTCCGAATAAAATACAGATGCACATTATTGACAATCCATTGTTAGTTTGCAAAATTTCAAGAGACAGGCTACATTTGTAAAGGAAAATCAACAGGTACTCCTTCAGTAGGAGAAGATGTAATTGAGTGTACTAAAGCCAGCTATGCGAGAAGCCTCAAAAATCGACACACCAAGCTGGATGAGGACTGGGAGTAGCCTAAAAACTATGTGAAGATTCTTAAGAGGTGTTTTGCAAATGTTTTCATATAATTTGCAGTTGGTATAACATATGAAACCCGAAGATCTGTCACATCAATTATCTTTCTGTAAGACACTTCTGACATGCATGGAGGATGATGAATTTTTGAAAATGTTAATATTCAGTGATGAATAAACTTTTCACATTTCTGGATTAGTAAATAAGAATAACGTGAGAATTTGGGATACTAAACATCCACATGTGCCAGTGCAATACCAACATCATTCCCTTAAGATTAATGTGTTTTGTGTAATATCCCATGAAACTATCTACGGTACTTTCCTTTTTTCTGAAACCACAGTGACAAGAGGAGTGTACCTCGATATGCTCAAATTATGGTTTCTGCGACAATTACAAGAGAATATGTTTACTTTTATTTTGTAGCAAGATGAAGAATGATGCCAGACACACATTTTATGACTGAAGTGCAGAGCCACCTCAATAACATGTTACCACAACAGTGGACTGGTCGCATATCTATCACAGTCATTGCACTCTTGCCTTGGCTATCATGATTCCCAGATCTCACTCCATGAGGATTTTTCCCTGTGTGTGGGTGGGGGAGGGGGGTTGTAAGAGATCGTGTGTAACTTAACTGCCTTCAGATCCAACGACCATAACCAGCTTTCAAAGCCCGTATCACAGCTGCTATCACCAGCATTGATACAGACATGCTACACAAATTATATTTCAGACTTGATGTATGCCATATAACAAAAGAAGCACATATCGAACATTTGTAAGGAGTATATATTTAAAACTTACTTATTTTACCTTTGCATGTATGTACATTTTTAATGAATACATTTATTACATTTTGCGTAGTGCACGTAGTATGAAATTGAGGCATTCATTTTCACTTATCCTGTATTACAATATCTAATAAGGTATCTTTATTTCTACTTTTGTAATTGTACTACTTTGGTTTCTACTTATTTCTACTTTGTATCTTTATTTCTACTTTTTTTACTACTTGTAACTTGAATCTTTCCCATTCTTATTGTTGTCTTTGTTAATCTTTAGACCTAAAATTATCCCTTATTAAATTGTTTTTAAAAATCCGTTATTAAAGCAGTTGAATGTGCAGCTGACTCGGTGAAATCATAGACTGGACATCAATTGATGTTTACTTCACTGTGGTTGGTTTCTGTATTAGGCTGGCATAAAGTTCTACAGTTAGAAGGGAAAAGTTAGTGTGACCTTTACAGAAAGTTTGTGAGAGTTTCCAGATTTTAACCACAGCAACTGAAATTAGAAATTTTTATTTATTTATTTTTTTGGATTCAGTAATCAGAAACTCTTTAAAAGCATTACACATTGTCTTAATCTTTAATTTTAACACATTTCTAATCATTTAATAAAAAGGGTGAGTATTTGATTTTAATAATTTTTTATAAAAAATTATTTTCTAAAAAAATTCAGTGATTAAAATCATTAACACCCTGCTACACATACCTACTGATACTGTCATATAATCGAATCCTTTGATCAATCCATCTTTGTCGGTTCGTTTCTATCCACTTATGAATGTTATTAGTCAACTCTATTTGCAGGAAATAAACTGGGACACTTATGCAGGTTTAACAATAACATGAGCTATATTTTAATTTTGTAAATACAGTTAACTTCACAAAGTTTGCTTTTTAATTATTGCTTATATTCACATTTACATCAACGCACAAGTAATACATTGCATCTCTCAGCTCTTAACAAAAAAAAAAAAAAAAAAAAAAAAAAAAAAAGACAAACTCTAATCTCGGAATACAGCCAAACTAATTTCAATTTTTTTTTTTTTTTTTCACGAGCATGCCGTTCTTTTTGCATCAAGCACGTTTCTTCTTCTCGTTGCCAGATTTTCCCCTCTCCTTTCAGATAAACTGTATTTTTTCACACGAGCATGGCCGTCCTTCTCGCCATCAAGCACGCTTCTTCTTCTTCGTTGCTATATTTTCCCTCTCTACTTTCAGATAGAGGTCGTTGGCTTAACTGTTCGTTCTTCCGGCAAGCTTGTGTCGGTAGCTTTCCCTTACCGAGTATGTGCATGAACACGCCCCTGCCAAGAATGAAAATTTGTCCTTTCTTTGGGGGACGTATTTCATTAATCAATATCCAAGCAACATTTTCTGTACATTACTTTTACACAATACCAACCTTGTACAGTATTAAATAAAACAAAACAGAACAAAGCAATAAATGATTACAATCATACAGATAAACAAGAAAAAGAAAAAAACAATTAAAATCAATATATTAATCATATCATATCTGATCCAGACGTGAGAGTGCATCTGCACTTTGGTGCTGGCATCCCTGGCCTATGACTAATCTGTAAATTCCATTTCTGCAATGCCCAGAGCCCACCTCGTCAATTTTGGACTTCGAGGAGTAGTTTCATTCAAATATCTGAAGAGGGTTGTGATCCGTTATAATTTCTATCTGATCCCATAGATCCATTTATCAAATTTATTCAGGCCAAATAAGACTGCCCAAGCTTCCTTCTCAATGCTTGCTCAATTTTTCTGAGTTTGAGAAAGCTTTTGACTTGCAAATGCAATAGGACAATAGGACAATAATCACTATGACTCTTCAAAGCACAATTCATTTCCTTCTGGAATGTCCCCAAGGCTCCTGATAAGCCGAAAGGCATTGTTCTCCACTGGTACACTCCATTACATGTTGCAAATGCAGTCAAAGGTTTGCTCTTTTCATCCATTCGGATTTGCCAATACCCTTTTCGAAGGTCGATGCTTGTCAGCCAGTTTGCTGCACTCGCCACAAAAATCAATTCCTGCATGTCTTTCATGGGAAATATTGGAGTTTTCGTTACAGCATTCAATGATCTAAAATCTATACACATTCTAACTGTAGCATCTTTTTTTTCGCGCACACACAAACTATAGGATGAGCAATTTCTGACTCAGAAGGTTCAATTAATCCTAATTCTAGTAACTCACGTATCTGCTCATCTACTGCTTTGCGGTATGCCATGGGTATTCCATAGCAGTGGGGTTTTTCTTCCTAATAGCAGTAGGAATAAGTTCGATTTTGTGTGTACCTACTCTTGCTGGTTGCACTGGACGTGTAAATAATGTTTTGATATTTTCCTCAGTAGCCCTAAAAGTTACTCCTTTGGACTGAATCTAAATTAGACATTTCTAATCCTTCCAGAGATTCAGAAAAACCCTTTTCTCCCTTGTTGACAGGTATAGATTCAATTTCCCCAAACTCTTCTTCCCCCTCCAAGATAACATTTACTGCTTGGGATCTAACTACATAAGGTCTAATCTTATTCTGATGAACATGTCTTTTTGGTCCCATCGGGCATTTGTACTACAAATGAGTGAGAACTTCTCTGTTCCAATATATTTGCAGGACCCTGCCACCTAGCATAAAGCTTGTTATTAGAATCGGGAATCAAGACTATCACCTTATCTCCCACCTTAAATGTTTTTATGGTAGACCTTAAATTATGATAGTGTGCTATCCTCTCTTGTTGAATTTTAGCTGTGAGCTTTGCCTGCTCCGCTGCCTTCTCAAACCTAGCCTTTAGATTTTGTAAATATGTATAAACAGGAGTTGCATCTAATTGTAAATTTTCATGTTTCCTTGTCCATGATGATTTTAATATCGACAGAGGTCCCTGAGGGTGTCCTGCCTGTACATGAGCTGAAATGGGAGCCACCCCAGTTGTTGAGTTGGGACTTCTCTATAGGTCCACAATACATAAGGAATTTGCAAATGCCACCCCTCTACCTTCTTCTCTGATGACATGATGCAACATTCTTTTTTAAAGTACCATTAACCATTAAACCGTTCAACTAATCCATTAGCTTGAGGATATCCAGGGGTCGAAAACTTAGGACTGGTCCCCTATTCGTCTCTTCAAATTCTTGAGTCAAATCTGCTTTAAAATTTTTCCATTGTCACATGCAATTACATTTGAAAGACACGTTCTTGAAAAAATACGTAATAACTCCTCACAAGTCGACTTGGCGGAAAGGCTAGTTAGAAGTATTGCTTCTGCCCATCTGGTATGCTGATCAACAAAGCATAATATATACTTATAACCCTTAGAACTGGGAGGATCAATCGGACCTATCAACATCAATGTTTACAATTTGGAAGGGCAGATCTAGCCTGGTTACTGGGGTGATTGGTGTCCTATCAAATATTTTAATTGGTCTAGTCAACTGGCACTCTTTACATGCCTCGCAAAATTTCTGAACGTCTAACCTCAGACCTTCCCAATAGAAAGAGCATCTAATTCTCTCCACAGTCTTCTTTACCCTCATGTGGCTACTAAACACCGAGCAACGTGCTAACTGCAAGACTTCCTCCCTTCGACTCTTAGGTACAACTAATTGCCCCACACTTTCTCCAAGAATTTTGTCCTTATGAAAGAGAAAGTTATCCACTGTATAATAATTCCCCTTTCCTTTCTGAGCATTCTCTCCATGCTCCTACCAGAGATTCACAAGTCTCCTGCTCTCTTCTAAATACATCCGCTGTACATAGTCTTCCTGGCTGAGGTTCTTGGCTTTCACTTGATTCCATCTTCCCTTTCTCATTGAGATTCCTTCCCATACTAGCGTTTCCCTTCTAATTTCCCTGTGTTTACCTTCACAGACTTTTCCTTTCTGCTAACCTCTGGGATGTTTGTGGTTTCTTCAGGTAAGTTTTCCACCCCTTCACCTGTGTCATATAACCGACCTCCTAACATGGTGAATACTTCCGGAGGAAGCAACACATCCTCTGCCAGCGATTCTGCAACTGCACACAAAATCTCTTGATGTGTAACATTGGCACTTTCTCCTACAGTAATACTCAGTGGAATGCTTACCAAAGGGCATTTAACAGCTGGACCAAATATACCTTTCAAATATATACTAGATCCTTCCTTCAGTTGGAGACTTTTGGTTAACTCTTTCTTAACCACCGTAATTTCTGTGCCTGAATCAACTAGGGCTTTCCCTATTGTTCCATTCACACTAATAGGAACCCTTTTCAACTCACACAGCTTATAATCGTTTACATCCCCTGACTTCCTCAAAGGATCCACACGAGCTACCACAACTTTGTCCTCTACGATATCATTATCCTGATCTTTCTTTACCCAGTTTACCCTGGCTTTATCCTTTTCCTCATTTCTGTTATACTGTCTAGAACTTTAATCTGAGGACAGTGCCTTTTAAAATGTGAAGCTGAACCACATACAAAACATGTTAAACCTTTAACGTTCCCTGTGGTTTTTCCCTATGGTTTCTGACGTATGGCCGACTGCCTCGTCTTTCTTCGACCTTAAGGTTTCTCACCTACTGCCTGATTTAAAATCTTAGTTTCACAAGCTTCCCTACGTACGTTGTTAGGACTTTCCCTTTAGCCGCAAAGAATATGTCACACTCCTTTCCAAGCTCTCTTGGCTTGAACCACGAGTCTCCCTGCCTTATACCTATGTGTACTGCAGTTTCCGTATCAAGGGTCTGGTAGATTTTGTCTGTGCTACCACCAACTGATTAAGACCTTCAAAGTCTGTCACCACCCCCCTTGATTTCACATAATTTCCCACATGGCAGTAACTCTAGTAGAAAACTGGCCAAAGGTCTCTTCTGAACTTCGTCTTGCCTTTCTGAAATTCCCCAGGCATACCTGAGGTGAAGGTTTTAAATTCTTTCAACACAGTTTCCTTTATTTTTCCTCATAATTCCCATACTTATCCTCGCTTATCAATGTTAATAAATTTGCCGCTTTATCTCCCAAAAGGTAAATCAAATTTTGGCCTTATACTCATCAGGGACACTTTCATTGACATAAGCTCTTTCTAAACTGGAGAAGAAATAGTCCCAGCCATCTGCTTTACATGGAACCTTTACTGTCAATAATCTGATTGTCCTTGTTAACTCTTCTACTGATCTTTCCTTCCCATTCTCCCACGTACGGGTGTAGTACTCCTATTCGAGTAACGATCCTGGACAATCTACCTTATACTTCTCATGGCAATCCGCTCCTCTGCCTCTAACTTTAGTTTATATTCCCTTTCTTTCCTTTCCTTTTTCTTGCCTCAATATCTGTAATGATAACACTCAGAAGATCCTTTGCTACCTTGCTCCTCATAGCTTTCACTAGCAAGAATATTTTTTTCCCTCAAGTCCCAAAATCCTAAATGTAGGCAACACTTCAACACCAAACTCTTGTGCAAGGGTGACTAGATCAGCCTTTCTAGATTTGGCCAAAAATGACATTATGGCGACTTATTATTATGGGATTATGTTCAACTTAATTAAAATAACAGAAAATTAAAACTAAATTTCCTTACATAAAATTAAACATTAAGTTAAATCCTTAACTTCTGTTGAATCATAAACACATGGTATCTGCATTAAATATGCACAACATCCAAATACTCAATAAATATTAAAAAAAAACATGTATGTTTATATATAAGCATTTGAAAATTAATGCAATCATATCTCATAAATAAGACACAAGCATTACTTAAATTAATGATCATTCACTCATATAATAAAAGATAAATGCACTTGCAAGGTAATTCAAGATAATCATATGATAATAACACTGATAATTTTTGTCGTGTTATAAAATACTTGTTAAAGTGTACCTTTACATTAACAGCAAATTTTTCATAAACACAAAAACATAAAATAAATCACTTAAACGAAGAGAACCTGGTAGAAGATAACTATTCCACTTAATAAGCTTCGCAGCATTCGTAAGGAATTCACTTGAGCTTTTTCCGAGTTGACAAATATACATCCGACCAGCTGCCACCACTGTCATATAATTGAATCCTTTGATCAATTCATCTTTGTCAGTTCGTTTCTATCCACTTATGAATGTTATTAGTCAACTCTATTAGCAGGAAATAAACTGGGACACTTATGCAGGTTTAACAATAACATGAGCTATATTTTAATTTTGTAAATACAGTTAACTTCACAAAGTATTGCTTTATTCACATTTACATCAAACGCACAAGTAATACATTGCATCTCTCAGCTCTTAACAAAAAAAAAAAAAAAAAAAAAAAAAAAAAAAAGACAAACTCTAATCTCGGAATACAGCCAAACTAATTTCAAATTTTTTTTTTTTTTTTCCACGAGCATGCCGTTCTTTTTGCATCAAGCACGTTTCTTCTTCTCGTTGCCAGATTTTCCCCTCTCCTTTCAGATAAACTGTTTTTTCACACGAGCACGCCGTCCTTCTCGCATCAAGCACGCTTCTTCTTTTCGTTGGCTTAACTGTTCTTCCGCTAAGCTTGGTCGGTAGCATAGAGTATGTCCATGACAGATACCATAAAATAACTGGATTGTGGTGCTAGGACTTTTGATTTGTACACATTCCTGTCCATGGATGCTGCCATTTTTATGCTCAGCTACCACAAAGAACAACTAAAATTCATGAAATTTTGTATGGAGAATAATAACATGGCACTTGAATTTGACTCCCATTGCTAATTTTTAATTTTATAATTTCTACATGGCATGTTATTTGATTTAAATTGATGATTTAATACTCCCAAAAATTCAAAATCCAGAGTCACTAAAGTTGCAATGAATCTGGATTTTAGACTCTGTATTCAGATTATTACACATAATGGTAATTTGGGAAATGTTTACAATATACTTGATGAGGACTAATGGTTGACATTACGTTCAAAGAAACAAAACACACACACACACACACAAAAAAAAAAAAAGAGAGAAGCAGCTTCAATACATTTCAAGGGGCGGGGGGACTGTTTCTCTTTTAAAAGGAAAGATATATATATATATATATATTTTTTTTTTAGGGAAACAAAAATTTAAAACTGTGGGCACAAAGTATCTAAAACTGATTTCCACAAAGAAAAAGAAGAAATACGAGATAAAAATATGTATTTTATTATAGCAACAAAAAATTATAAAAAATATCTAACCCTTCGATTCGACTTTTGATAGCTTGCTGAATAGAAGTTGAAGCTTTAGTAACTGAAGAAAACTGCCTAACAGCTGAGACAGCACTTGATATTGATGGAACACCACTGGGAATGGGAGTAATTTCAGAAGGATTAGATGCAATGGGAATAATGTGCACTGATCCTTGATATATAAAAATCTGAAAGTAAACCCACCAATTTTAGTTTCCGAACCTGATGATTTGACTTGTTACATCTTTAAAAGCAGATACATATACTAGATAATAGTGCTTTATAAACTAGCATAAGAAAAAATATTATTACATTTTATAAAAATACAAAAATCAAACATGCAGATTAATTAACCATTGATCAGTCTTAATATTATAAAAGTAAATAGCTCTAAAAACTAGAATGGTAATTTTAATGTCCAAAATATTGAGAACTAAGCAAGTTATTGATTGTATTGAGCATTTCATCAGCAAAAAAAAAGTGTGTGAAATCAATTATTATTAGCAAATATATAATTATAGTATTTCAGATGTTTAATACAATTTCTTGATCATAATATAATGGCAATATAAATACAGATTTTTCAATGTAGCACATTCAATATTACCACAGTCAAGGGTACGGAATATATAATTCTTTGGTAAGGAATTGCTAAACAATGCTTTGTTAAAGTTTTCCTTTTGCATCCTTTTTTATGATATTTTATCACTAATGAGAGTACTGGGAATATTACCACATCCCTGTACTAAATCCAAGGCCTCATAAATATTTTTCATTAAAGTACTATACAGTTAGGAAAGCACACTTGCATTCTCAAATAGATGGTCTTAAAATACTACTACAATAACCTTAGATGTACAACATACTGTCTACTTTGCATGAGTGAAAATACAAGGCACTCAACTAGCATACCATAGAAATGCTACTGGTACAGTGTGACAGTTTCCAAAACATGACAAGCAGAAGATTCACAAATAAAAATATACACCTAATCATTTTATTTTCAGTAAATTATTTTATTTCATGATACTTCTGCAGGTACACTGCACAAAAAAAAGGGGGGGAACAGTTCTATATATCCCGTTCCACAGGGCCAATTGACGAAATTCAAAGTGTGTTTTTCATGTCTTGAAAGCGTGACTTAGGATATATATTAGATTTATATATAGCATAATTCTAACATAGGTATTCTGACACAAAATTGGACTTTTTCTTAAATGACATGCCAATTTTTTTCCATATTTGGATTCTGATCCAAATTATGCCTAAATATTAAATTTTGTAAAATTTGATGTGAAATTTATGGAGAAATTCAAAAATTTATCTTGGCTTATATTTTTCAATTTTAATTCCTTTTTGATTTATAGCAACCGTTTTCCTTTTCTTTATTTCATTCTAGACGAGCGGGGGGTCATCGTTCATACTTTCAGATAATTTTAACAAAGTGCACATTACCATTTGGTATTATTATCACTAAAAAAAAAAAAAAAAAAAAAAAGGAAAGAAAGAAAGAAAGATGCTAAGGTTAGGGTGACTTTAAGGTACCCTTTATATTATGGCGAAGTTATTGTTTCATTTATGGTAGCCTGAGTAGTTGAATGTTATGGAAAACCTCTTGTGACATAATCGGGTGCATGATTCTGGAAAATTTTTAACCATGGGAAGTTTTGTAAGTGCTTTTGTGGTGTGTGTCGGTTTTATTGTTTAGACGGTATAATGGCTGAATGTAGTAAGATTAATTTGAAGTTTCTCTACGATTTGGAACGAAAGGGGAAAAGAGTTAGTTGACTGGTGTGTAAATGAAGGTTTACTTAGTAGCCATTATAAGTGTCCTGAATGTAGGAAGGATATGCATCTAGTCGAACGTAAAAACCGTTTAGATGGATTTGAATGGGTTTGTAGGAAGAAAGGTTCAGATGCGGTGACGCCGAGATATACAGATTTGAGTTCAGATAATTTTAGGAAGTTTTTGGATGCTGTTAAGGAATTTTGTGTGCCACAGACTAAAGACGAAGGAACTTCTAAATAGTGTAAGTGGATATTTACATTTTCTAGTGCTTAAATGTATAACATGCTTTCCTTTTTATGTTATTTTATTGTTTGGTTTAAAATGTAGTTTACTGAGATTATGTATTTTTTGTTTGCCTGTATTGTAGAATTGAGTGCTCCTTTGACTTTTTAAGAGAAAATATATCTATATACGTGGACAATGTGAAGGGAGTGCGCAATGCAAGTTTGTGCAAGGCTTGGATTTTTTTAAGTGAAAATAGGTCAATGTGTACATGGATACCGAGTTGTGCAATTCTTTGTGTTGTTATTTTGGCTTTGTGTAGCAGCGATTTTTGCGCACAAAAATCGCCGTTAAGCCAAAATAATACGTCAAAACTGCACAAACTCAGTATCCATGTACTGCCAAAAACCGCCATGTTTTGCCAAGGGGTACCCTAAAATATACTTTTACCAATGTCAAATTTCAATTAACATTGAGGAGCTAAAATTTTGAGAGTTAATTTTTTAAATACTACTCAAGCCATTTTTACAAAAGTTGGCAGTTTGGCAAAATTTGAGTTGTAGAATCAAATTATGGAAAAAAAAATGGCATGTCAATACACAAAAAAAGTCAGATTTTTTGTCAAAATACCTAGATAGAACAATGCTATATAAAAATCTAATACATATCCTAAGTCATTCTTTTGAGACATGAAAAACACAATTTGAATTTTGTCAATCGGCCCAGTAGAACAGAAGATATAGAACTGTCTCTCTCTCTTTTTTTTTTTTTTTCTTTGTGCAGTGTACAAGATTATTTATATGTGTGCATAAGAAACACATATTTTTAAACTCACTCGATTTTCACTTGTATCTGGATTTAACCATTTGGGCACATATTCAGCGGCTTCAATAAGTAAAAATTCTCCATCACTATCTTGGATCCTATCATTGAATTATAAAATTATTTTATAAGATTTCAACAAATATAAAGATTACACATTCAAGAGAAAATGCACTTTGAAATATTGGAAAATTCAATATACAGTTTTTTGGTAGAGAAATTCATTAGCACAAATCAAAATACTTTTTAAATTTCTTTTATTTATTTAATTTTCATCAAATTGGTTTGCCATTTGAGCTGCCAGGGGTATTAAGTCATGCTTCATATGAACTCTACAAAATCAGATTCATGATGATGGCAAATTGTGCCTTGTTTATTTTTATTCCACCACTTAGTGCTACAGTACCTCAACAATTTGAGAATGAGCAGAGACTGTTGAGTCAACAAACTGATACTTATGGTTAACAGTAGACTTTTCCAGTTCATATATATATTTTTTTTAATGCTTGTTAACGGTCTGAATAAAACACTGATCGCTCTTATGCAGAATCAATGATTTTTGCCATGACGGTAGTTGTCTCTCTATTCGGAATAAAAATAAGAAAAAATTCCATTAGTTTCTTGGCATAACCCACCAAATGTTCAATATTCTAGAAGAACCCTACTGGCTTTATTTCCCCCTATCTGAAATGGCTTTTGTTTATGTCCAAACTTTCTCCAAGTCCACCTATTCACTTATTTGGCTGTTGGGCTAAATATAGAAAATGCATCTCTCTAACTGCACCTAATACTGCTTCAAACTAAGTTATATTATTTTCATAAATACTGAATTGCTTCTCCCATAATTTAGCCAACACCAGTTCCTCTGCTCAACAGTACATAAATTGCTGTACTGTTATAAATGCTATTCTGAAACTACTAAACCCAGCTGTCAAAATATATGCTTTTCCTTTATTCACAGCTTTTCCCACTGCACCTTCAATGCTTTTATGTGTGTGTTTTATTTGCATGTTTTAATATATATAGTTTTATTTAATTGTCATTTCTAAATGTAAGGTAGAAAGCATTTTTCTTGGAAGAAAGATGCAGCATCTTCCTCATTTCTCAGTATAACAATTTAACAGCTTTTGATATTTTTTTGAAAACAGAAATTATGTTAACATGTGCAATACCTACAACTCTACTCGTGACAAGAAAATTATTAGTGATTGTGACTATTAACACTTATATAATGAAAACACAATAACACACAGAAATTTTCTCATCGCAAATAAACTATAAATGGTTATCTTAAGGCCTGCCAGCTATTTGAAGATGGTTTTCATCACTAATTTATCAATTAACTCCATTAAAAAGTAAGGGCTATAATAAAAAGAAAGTACTGGATAAAGCAATCACACTGTTCTGCTTGTTAGGCAATTATCAGTCATAAAGAAAACAAGACAAAGTCATAAGAAAATCAAAATAATTCTTTAACATGAAGTAACAAAATCTGAAATTTTAAAAGGTTACATGTGTTTGGTAATCTGCAATACTTAACCTCAAACATAAGAAATGGATTGTCAATGATACATAATATTACTTTTTTGGCTATATGTAGGATTAGTAATAGCAAATCTGCTGCAGCATGAGTTAGATAAACAAATTATCAGGGAATGTTCTGAAGATTTCATATTTCCTCAAAGATCTAGAATTATATATAGAGAAATTTTAATATTATATTGTACCTTAATACTGCTTTTTACAATGCATATTTTACAGAAAAAGGTTACTATAATTAGTTACTCAAATCTACAATTTAATTAAAAAATGACTGGTGAATCAGAAGCGACAGAAAATAAAATACTTTCCCATTTTTACAACATCTAGTTTTTAAAGTCTAAAAATAGCAATAAATTGCTAGTGAGAGCCCTAACACAAACTATTTAAGTATGGGAAAATAAAACACATGTGTTGTTCATTTAGCAACTGTGGTAGTAATCTTTTGACGATATACAACAGAGATAAGAGTAGATCAGTTTCAAATTGATTTTAAGATACATATTGCAATTTTGTAAGATGATTACTGATCTGTACGGTATTGTTTATTTTGCAATGTAATTTCAATAAATCTTATATTCCCCATTATTTACGATTCTCATATTTGAAAGCTAAACCCATATTTAGACTACCAACGGCCAATTAATTAGTTTATTCATTACGAGAAAAAGCTGTGAATATGAAGCATTATAATGTATTTTCTTCTTAAAAAACATGTTAACAAATTTTAATTTTTTCCAAAAATTTAATTAAAAAATATCCTGGAATTTTCCAGCAAAGTAAGAAACTGTGGTAAAATTTTTGCAGAAATACAGAATTTTGCCATAGAATCTCTAAAGGGAACAATGAGGCGATGGCAAGATAGAAAGCGTTGCTAACGTTCGTAGCAATATTGAGTCTATGCAATTATCTCCTATTTCTAAAGCCAAAAGATATCACTGCATAGTTGGAGAGTATAATACAGTCAAAATTCGTTAATTCGGACACCCATAATCTGGAATGATCTATAATCTGGACCTCAAAGCTAAAATCTTTCTGCGCATGCGCCGCATTGACCCATGCGCATAGGCGTTTTACTCGTGCGCGCAAGACATTTACGACTGCGCATATGCGTCTGCGCAAGTGCAGACTACGTTTTCGCGTGCGCGTTAATATATAACAGACGGTATAAGCTAAAATTATCTAATTATCTATTTCAGTTAATGTGACGATTGTGTTGTTTCTAATCTTCGAATTGGATCCTTCTTATTATTTTTTGCAGACTGTAAAGAGCAATTTTTCTAAAGTAAGCTCGACTTCGATTATGTCAAATAGAATCCGATGCTGGAGCCCAAAGGATCTAGAAAACGAAAGTATGTTTCGATGTCCATCAAACAAAAATGAATTGTACCAAAATGGATAAAGGCATATCTTGTTTATCTAACCGTTCCGAAATCCTTTATGAATTTCACGCTGCTCTGCGCGGGGGGGGGGGCGTCGCGGCGCGCATGAACGGTTGATTTGTCACACTATCCTTATTGATGCTATAGCAAGTTAAAGATATTAAACATTAGCCGTTGGTAGCAATGAAAGCCTCCCTGAGTTATGTTTTGCAGACATTGAAGACAATAAAAGATTTTGAACTTAACCAATTTATTAACAATATAATAAAAATAAAAACACATAAAATAAATTTCAACAATATTAGAGTATTAGGAAAAACATAACATAATCATCATTCATCAAATATTTTTACCTGTACTCAAAACACTGGCATTCTATATACAAACAAAAAAAAAAATGAAAATGTCCTAAATAGTGACTATGCAGCCTAAAAATAAAGCTAGCTACCCATTCCAATAAGTCCATAATCAATGGTCAAGAAAACACCTGAAAAATTTAAATGTGAAACACTTAAAACCGGCCTAACTCCGTTTGCACACTTAATTCCACCCTCCTTGAAGAAACATGGACGCCGCCCACAGCAGTCACTCACAGGATAGCCCCCGGAACCGAAGAACTTCAATCTGGAACCATCATCTCGCAAACTGGAATCAAGGCATCCTTTCACCGGACTGCAGGCATCCTTTGGAAGGGGCTGGAAACCGCTCACACACCAGCCGGTAAACCAGGAACTAGAAGGCAGGCTTGAGCCTTGATCCTTGATCCTCAGACTTATAAGAAGTATCAGCCCTGGGGGGCTCCTACTAATAAATTCTCTTCGAAGACTTCATGGTATATTCGTGAAAGCTTTAATAAAAGCTGTTTTGGCAATAATCAAAGTAGAATTTCTGATGTTGTAGTCTTCATTTGCAAAATAGCTGTACATATTAAAAAATTTGTAGAAAAATATAAAATTCACATAAAAATAAGCAGTAATAATTAAAAATAAAATACAAGTAGTAGAAATTTTCTGGATTAAATAAGGAGAAGATAAAATATAATACAAGTCCTATTTGTTTTTTAAATGTTCGGTTAGGACCGAACCTGCGATCTCGTTGGGCAAAATGATCCAAGGTCCGTACCACTCGGCTACGTCATCATCTGTTCAGTAAGCGCTAAAAAGTGCTTATACGAATAGTTCCAGTGCCTGGAGGGCGAAATCTAGCTTCTCGTTTTCGTTGGAAACTTTGGTGAATTTGTGGTAGAGGTCTTTTAATTTGAATATGAGGGATTTAAATTCGTGTAAGTTTTTGACATCTGATATTTTGGTTTTTTCTGTTTCTTTTTCTTTGGGTGCTGCAACATTCGCATAAGTTTTCTTATTGTTATTTTCTATGATCGGTTCTGGGTTTTGTTTATTGAAGTTAGGGAAGTCATCTTTTTGAGGAATTTTCTGTTTTTGTAAGAATTTTTTACTTGGATGCTCCGGACAATCAATACTTGTAGCGGCGTGAAAACCGCTACAAAGCACGCATCTTGCTGGGATTTCTTTTTTATCTTTGATCGGACATTGATATGAAAGGTGATTTTCGAGACATCTTACGCAACGTGGTAAATTATGGCAAGCTCTCTGTGTGTGTCCGTAACGTTGACATCTAAAACACTGCACGGGACCCGGTCTGGAGTTATATCCTACAATACGAACTTTCATATCACAGATGTGAGTGATGTTAAATATTTCTTTTTCCTGTGGAGTTCTGGGCGTTTCGACGTAAAAAATCGGCAGTAATGTTGGAATACCGTCACGCATTCTCTGTAATTGGTGGATTTTAAGAACTGTTATGCTATGCAATTTTAATTCTTCTTTTATTTCATCTATGGGTGTTTGTACGGTTAAGCCTTTGATAACAGTTTTAAGGTTCTTTTCTTTAGTTAATAGATAAGTATGGAATGGGATGAGTGCTTTTTCTAGATAGTCTTGAGCCTTTCGGAAATCGTCTTCATTAAAAAATTGAACTCTTATGTTATCTCCTTCGGTTTTGGTTTCGAGTTTGCAGATTTTTAAATTTTCTTTTATATGTTTGCGAATTTCTGGCCAGTTGTTACTTTTGAGATCGGTAATTATAATTGGAGGAATTTTAGTATCTTTAGGATATGGGCTATTTGGTTTTTTAGGCTTTTCCGGTTGGGTCATGTTGATATCATCATTATTTGCGTCGTCATTATTTGCGTCAAGCATTTCTTCGTTATTGAGGGAATCAAAGCGTGATGAAGTGCTGATCGTCTGTGAACTATAAGAAGATCCACTATCGCGGCGCGATCTTTTAGAGCGATGCGAGATACTTATAGCAGAAGTAGGAATGACGTCATCTTACGGCAACCAATCAGCTATCGGCACGAATCGGCTCAGATGAGTAACATTGTTTCGTTTTTGCATCTCATTAGGTTGAACAGTCCGTTTTCAATGCAAACAGTGGCGCAAGAAAAAGAAGTAGAAGAACTACTATTATATTAAAATAAGGACTAAACTAAATAAACATTTCAAGGAGAGAGATGATGCAGTAAAAGGTTAAAAATAAGCTATATTTTCAACAAATGCCCCCACATCATCATCCGACCTGAATAAAAAACGAATGCCAGTATCTTTACAAAATTCAAAAAAGAATAAATAAATATCACATTTCATCAGAAATTTTAAGACATTTTCTTGGGAAATCTTATCCCATTTTCAAAATTTACCGTAGCAGAAAGTCCACTGTTACAAAACAAACAAAGTTATAGATATGATCTACGCTCATACATTACCCGGGCCTGGTCATCATACAAATTTTAGCTATACAATTTACATTTAACTAAATCCATCATATAGACTTATACATATTTTTCAAATTAACAAAAATCTTATTTAAATACACCAAAAAAACAATTTCATAAGAAATTGTTCAAAAAGTACCAGATTATGCTTAGTCAGCAGTTTTGTCATGGGATCAGCAGATTATCTTTACTTGGGACATATTTTAAATCAAAAATTCCCTGTCAATAGATCACGAATGAAAATGTTCACATCTAGATGTTTGTCCTCGAGTTTTCAGGGTGGATTTGTAAAAACAATAGCAGCCATATTATCAGCAAACAAATGGTCTCAAAAATAATTACTTGCATTTTAAACTAAGCTTCATCAAAATGTTTTACACCAAAACAATTATTTTGCTGATCGTAGAAATAATTCAGCCCAAGTAGATCAACCACTCGTTTTTAAACGTACGCCAAGAGACAGGGATTCTCCAACCAGCTATTGTCCCATAGACACATATAATCCTGCTTGAAGCAAAACCCGAATCTGAATATATATTGAGCTTCAGTTCCTTGCATACCAGCTTAAGTTTCTGATATCTGGTATTTGAAACGTATCCTAAAAGTTTAAGTTATCCTTCCCAGTGAAACTTACCAGGATTGCTTTGAAACTGAAAAAATGTATTAACAGCATAGGCTATATCCGGACGAGTGCGATTACAAAGGAACGAGAGGCATCCTAAAACATTTCTATAAGGATAATTTATCATCTTGGTCATTTCTTTTTGTGTACCGGGACTTAGAGTATTTCACACCTTTTAACTATTGGAAGGAAAGTAATTTGTATTTTAAAAGACT